GTAAGGTGGACCATGGATGGTGACACTGTCAGCGCCTGAGGTGTGGAGGTGCTGACGAGAGCCAATCAGGAGAGCCTCAGTCTTGTTCACATTGAACTGAAGAAAGTTAGCTCTCACCAGAACTTGATGTCTGACAGACATACTGTCAGGACAGCAGTGCTCCTGGATTCAAGGGTGGAGGCAGAGAGATAGAGTTGTGTGTCATCCACATACATTGACTCCATGTCTGCGGATGATGTCATCAAGAGGGAGCATATAGATATTGAAGAGGAGGGGAGCCCTGAGGAATGCCGCACAAGATAGTGTGGTGGCTAGAAGAGAAACCATTTGTGGAGATGAAATGGAGGTGGTGTGAGATGTACGATCTGAACCAGTCAAGGACAGAACCGTGACGGTTGAGGTGAGAAGAGAGGTGGTGGATGAGCTCAACGTTGTCGAAGGCAGCAGAGAGGTCAATTAGGTCGAGAAGGCAGAGGGAGCCCTGGTCGCAGTTGGACAGAATGTCATTTGTCACTTTGACCAGGGCTGTTTCTGTGCTGTGGGCAGTGTACCTATTTTACACTGCATCTGCAAATCCAGGTCATTAATATATACAAAAATAAAATAAATACAATAACAACTTGCATTTATATGGCGGCCTTCGCTGGGGAACATTGCAAAGCACTTGGTTTGCTGAATACAATGGAAATGTGGAAATGCTGGAAACCAATTCCATTGGCATGAGTGTCATGAGGGAGGACAAGTACATCTGCTGCACATCTGGGTACACTTAATGCACTCAAATATTGAATATATTGCTAAGTTAAGTCCCATTGATGATTTTGATTCAGCAATGAGCTGAAGCTGAATAAACCAGAGTACTTTTGTTTGATACAATCCAATCTGTCAGCTATTTAGCCCTGTGGGGTTATCAAACCTCGTAGTAGCATTGTGAGGTTTAAAAAAATGCTTGCTTTTTCATCCCATCCACATGATGTACATGGTATGAGGCTTAGTGGTTAGAGTAATTGTCTCGCAAGCGAGAGACCTGGGTTTGATTCCTGGGCAGGTCAAAATGTTGGACAAGTTTCCTTACTCCACACACCTCTGTTTATTTAGCACTAAGTAGGAACCTAGTTGTTAATCAATTGGCGGATCGCTTTTCCAGGGGTAATAATTCCTTAAAAGTAACCTTTTTTAAAAATGTTGTCACTCCATCCACGACTGTTTGCGGGACACTGCTGTGTGCTGTCATGTTTTGCCCACAAAATATACAGTCAATTCACTTTACAGTATATTCTGTGAAGCGCTTTGAGATGTCTCAAAGACATAATAAGGCTCTATAGAAAAATGCAAGGTTTATTATTAATATATTATTATTAGGCATCAGTGGCCAAAATGATAGCAGTTAGCAGCAATAATAAAGCTTTGAAGTTAGAATTTCAATGGGAAATTCCAAAATGGTTTGAAAATTAAAAAGATATAATAATCCTTGCTATTTGTTTTTCTTTCAAATCGGGAAGACATTTCCAAACACTTCACAGGTTTTGCTGCAAAGTATTTTGTAGATGAACGTGACAGCCAATTTTCTAAAGCAATGCCCAGACAACCATGAAATGAACAATAATAATTCCTACATTTCATATAACGCCTTATCATGTCGTTGAGACGTCTCAAGGCGCTTCACAGAATATATTGTAAAGTGGTTTGACTGAGTGTTTTGTGTGCGAAAAGCGATAGCCAATTGCATACAGCAGTGTCCACAAAGTGACCAATTTTTTTTGAGGGATTATTACTCCTCAAAAAAAAGTGATCTGCCTGTCGACTAACAACTGGATAATAACAACCAAATACTCAACTTTATCTAGGGTGAATTTGTTGGCCGTTTTGTCTCTGTTTGGGGGTCAATTTCTTTCACAAGGAATCTGAGTTGTTGAAATTGAAGCTTAGTCCACCAACTGGAAGTATGTCACCCTGATCCGATAGAACTGTTCCGATGGCATTTAATTTTTCAGAGCAGTTACCGCGATCAACTGGAATGCAAAGGGGCCTTCTTCTTCTGAACCAATCTTATGATCTTGTCAATGCTAACAGAATTCCTCATTAATAAAACCTGTTAAGAAATGCCACAAAATTACAGAGTGAACAATGTCTGGAACGATGTCTGTTGAAACTTGTAACACAGAGTTCAGACGACTCCACAAAGGTGCTCAGGCTTCATCTTGTGGTTTAAGACATGCTACAGCTTCAAAACTGCTTCATAGAAACATAAACTCCAGATTGGCAGAAAAATAAAGTTCAAATGATATTTGAGATTTCAGGCTTTTTTCGTGTAGCAATAATTGAAAATAAAATGAGTAAATGCATCAATATATTACTAACGCAGTGCAGAGGGTCAACATACCCAGTGATGCATATTTTGATAATGCGCACTTCCTGTTTGGCAACACAAAGTCAAGTTTAATCTATTTTTTTGTTATCATTTCCAGTAAAGATCTGCGAGCTGATCTCACCTCTGTATGTACTTCTGCTAAATTTCTAATGATTAGTCACGGTTTTGGCCATTGAGATGGAGTGACTTCCAAAAGGTCAAAGGGTTAAATGCTGTTTGATTAAAAATGGACAATACGACAAGCACTGTTTGGGGACGGTTGCGGATCAGACGGGAACTTGGGGGAAAAACAAGAAGCCTGCAATGATTTCTCATCTGACTGTCCTTTAAAAAAAATCTTTTATATATATAAAATAAATGCAAGGATTATTATTATATATATTTTCTCTCTGGCAACAGTTTTGCTACTGTTTATCAAGGCAAAGCAAATCCAATTAGCCTGTGGCCTGCCTACCAACCTTTTTAACCTCCTTAGCTGTGAGAAACTCAGCCGCTCCTGCCAATATCTCATTTCTGTGGCAGCAGATAAGATCAGCTTGAGATATTCAATGGTTTCACTTCAGCTTCATCATAATGATCGTTTCTTAACCGCTGTCGCTGGATCTTATTTTCTCTCATTTACTACATGAAATGGGACAGTAGCTCCCAGCCCAATGGTTTGCTGGAACAAACACAGATCAGGCCTTCATACCATCTGACAGCAGGGACTGATTTTTCTTATCACAGCTTGTCCACAAAGGCATAGGCTGGGTTGGGATTATTAACATTCCTCGACGAGATGTGTCAGGACTATTTCTGTCAGAGAGACAGATTGAGCCTTTCACTCAGTCCCAGGAATGAGTGACACATGGCCTGACCGGCAAGACAACATTGTTATTCGAGTTAAGAAATCAATTTGTATCAAATGTACACTGTAATTTATTTGTTGGCTTTGAAGGAAACCTTGCTGAGATAAATGGAAATGGACTTCTTTTACCAAGCTGATATAGTTCTTGTGAAGCTACAGATAGTTACAGTCAGAGGAAAGTGACAAACATGTTTAAAGTTTCGCAGTGATCTTTAAATCTCAAAAAGAACACCTTGTTGGACATGATAGAACACTTTTTACCTTTTCCACTATCTGACAGAAAGCTGCTGCGACACACCGCTTTAGTATTTTTGCTGACATTTTCTTTATCGCCGGCATCTGTCTGGAAAGGATATGCGCTTCCTTTTGTCAGCCCCAGTGCAAACAGGGAAGCTGGAGAACCAGGATGGACTTTCATGTAACCAGAACCTTAAGTTCCTACCAATTTTAGAAAGAAGCACAAGAAATATTCATCAAAAATATAGTCATGTTTATACAAAATAAAGTGTGCATATATTTGCCAGCTTAGATATATTATAGCCCAGAGTGCTGTGTACTCTTCTGGTTACCCCTCTCTCCCCATATTTGTCGTTGGATTACTTGTTTTTTACTTTTTATCACATCTTTTAAATGTAGTCCAGACAGAACAAACATTGCTTAAGTTTTCATCTAATGTGACACTTTACAGTCTGTATTACACCCAAACTGTGTTAGAGTTTATTTCTTTTCTCATTATTTCAAGTTGCTCGACCTCCTTTGCTGGACTGCATAGACGGCTCTTTCAAGACTGTCAAAAGGTAAAAAATCTCGACAGCATTCCTGCCAGCGTTTAATCCAGACCACTGCCCTATGTAATGCAGCTGTAATATTCTATATCAATAAAGCTTCCCTCTGTGATATTCTGTTCAGTTCACAGAGCTCCCTCTGTACTGCACTCCACTGCTCAGGCTGTGTTCGGCTATGCTCTTGCTACTGTCCCGTGAAAGATTGCATTCAGTTTGGATCAGTGCAACCAGCCATGTTTACAGTTACTGGTGTTCAGAATCAGCTTCTGCATTGGGTGATATTGAAAGCTGCTTGACACGTTACATACTGACAGTAAACAAGGGACCAAGACATACTTTTTGTGATCAAATGTTTGGACACATTTGCAGTGTGTATGTGTGTATATGTGTGCGTGTGTATAAAAGGCTAATTCCCCTGAATGTTTTGATTCAGAGTATATTGTCGGTCAGCTTGAGAGCCCTATTTCTGTTTTGCCTGTATATTTGGGTGATATGCATGTAAACATACGCAATATTACACCTTTTTGTTTTGGTCAGCAGTATCTGACATGTGGAAATCCATCATAGTATCCAAATCAAACAGTGACAGTTCAACACATATGTGTGAAAATTGTCTGAATGTAAATGCACACTCTCTACCTGGAGGCCTGACCCTGCTTAATCCTTGCATTTTGAGCTTTGATAATAGTACCTTTCTTGTTGAGAGGAATCTCAAAGCACTTCACAGGATTTCCTTCAAAGTGTAGTAACTGCATTTTGCAAGCAAACCTGCTTGCCTAATCGCAGAGAGTATTACATGCATGGTTGAGAAGCCAGGGCTTGGAGATTCCACATTGTGATGGAGTTTAAGCAGCTAAACATTGTGAATGAACAGTGGAATCCTTCTCACTGCATGTCCAGCTCGAACTATCTTAGCTGTTAAGGCTTTTCTTGCAGAGGTAATAGAGGAATCCCTGCTCTTTCAAGACTTGCTGACATGTACCACCTGTAATGCCCTTTATTTGCAGATTCTTTACATCAAGTTCCTTTTGGTGAAATTTACAAAGATAATTGAGATCCAACCTTGTTGTAAGAATGTCAGAAAGAATGGATCACAAATTGTCATTGAGCCATCAAGCTCACAAATTCCACAGACTGTTGACATATGCCTGTCAGTTTCTCCTGTGTCAGCATCAGGCAAAGTTACCTAAGACTCCCTCTTAATCTCAGAACTCAAGTTGCCAGGACCAATTGCCCCCCTGAGCTAAGCCTCCTACTCCTGTCTCTCCACACCCTTGCAGTCACTACTGATATTGTGAACCTGCTGAGAATTGTCCAGGTTTGCAAATCCTTTTCACATCCTTAATGGCTTCTTGTTCTTTTCACGAAGGATTTAAACTGTTCGGTTGCTAGGATAGAATTGATTGTAGGTTCAGTCTGAGGCTGGATTGCTGTTGGTGCTGTCACTTCCCATTGAAAGCATGGTCTACGTATGGCCAGCACATCCAGGCAGCAATTATCACCTTGTTGTTCTTGTTGAACCAGGATCACGGCCTTGTTCTCAAAATGGCTACGTTTCTCCCGTCAGATTTTCTGCAAGAGAACACTGAAAAACTTAATTTTTCATCCAATAACAATACGATGCAAAAAATGATACATCACCACTGTCCAAACCCCTCTAGCACCCCGACAGAACAATTGATAATCAGCACATTGACTGGTCACTTATTTTCAATAATGTGTGAAATTGCACCATTAGCACATCACACAATCCAATTTTCATCGCAAATCATGTTTTCAACTGTTTCTTCCACTTCATATTTATAAGGTATTGCTTACTGAACAGTTGAAACAAAACTTTAAAAATGTAAGTGTGAACAATGTTCACACTTACATTTTTAAGTGTGTTGTTTCATAACAGATATGCTTTATAATCAATGTGTTGTTTCATAACAAATATGTTTTATAATCTGTTCTCAATCTCTTATGAAACTTTACGTTCCTTTAAAAGTTGTAGGAATGTATCAAACCTTCAGTTCGGGTTAAAGTGCTTTAATGTATATATGGCTTGCTTCAATAATTCCATACTTTCCATCAGTTTTATTTTATAAACCTATTACTTACTGGTTTCACATTATTACCAAACCATCAACAAATGTATTACAATGTGCAGCAATTTCTAATGTGATTTGTTTCAAAAAGGCATCTGCCTGTGGAACTGGTCTTGTAACTGGAAGTATGTTATGGCCCCAAATCTACCCAAATCTACCCAAATCTACCATTCCAAAAGTATGCTAAATTTACTATTTACATTTATATAGTGCCTTTCACATCTGGAGGACATCTCAAAGCGGGGCAGAATGGCCAAAAGCTTTCCCGCCGGCAGTGGAACAGATAGGTTGGGGGACATGAAAACAGGCAAATGTCACCGAGGGAACGTCTAGGTTGGCAGAGTTGTAGGAGGTATATGTTGTCAGAGCACCTGCAATTCAGCATGTCTTTCAATTTCCTTAATAAAGGACTGCCATTAGAAATTACAGGTATGAGACCTTGTTTTCAAGTCAATATTGAGACAATTACATGTTTAATGTTTCATTTTTCAGTGTGTAATCTGAATTTAAACATATTACAGCTAATAAACTCCTCTGATCGGATATTCCTGACCTAAATTCCATTGCTATGTAACATTTCTTCCGAAACCTGCAATAAATGTGCAGAAAGATCTGCGTGGATCGCACAGTCACTATTCAAAGCCGTTAATCCTGGTGTGTGTTGTTGATGAGCATTATGAGTTTCATTTGTAATCAATTAAAGCATTTCATTATGTTTAGCAAATGTCTTTCTCTCATTTTCAGAAGCACACATTCCAGGGATACTTAAGCAAGTTGGAATTTATATAATAATAATCTTTACATGTGATATAGCGGTTTTCATAGTGGGAGGACCTCTCAAAGAGCTTGACAGGATATCTGTAAAGTATAGTGACTGTGTATTTTATATGTCAATTGCGGCAGCCAATATGCTCACAGAAATTGTGGACTGGATTCAGAATAAATTGTTATTTTTATTTTTATTCTGTTGTTTTCCTTTCAACAATTCCACATTTCCTCTTTTCATTCTAGTTTTCATTAAGAGCTCAGAATGGGCCCCATAGTGTTAATATCTACTTCACTCTCCAGTCCACTCCAGCCTAGTGAATATCCAGCCTTGATAAATATCCCACAATCTGATATGCATTTACACCAGTCTGTTGCAAAATATGGCAATGTGATGTATGCTTATACCATTTATAGCAAACTGATGTGATTGTTCTGCTTTCCGCGGAGTACAATCAGATAGAAAAGTTGGGATTTATCACTGTGGACTGGATTCAGAATAAACAGGTCGGCTGTATTTATGCTCAGGTCCTGTCTGCCAGTTAGTTACAGATTCTCAGCACACATAAATTTGCAGCTGCGATGTAAACAGGGCTTCAGGCTCTCAGCCTCTACAGCTCTTTTGATGTCTGCAAGGTGCTTATAAGGAAATGCTGGAAGGACACTTGGAAGTTTCTGTCTGAAAAAAAACATGCTTCCGAGAGGAGTGATATGAAAAAGATGCTGAATAATCCACAGTTAATAAAGAAGTTCCCTGCGGTAAGTATCCAAATGTGCTTACACGGGTTAAAGAGTTAAAAGCATTATGTCTGTCACAAAGTTTTATGTATTTGTTTTGATAAAAATAAGTTTTTAGATGTGAAGTCATTTTTCATGGTCCCTAGGAATATTGCTGTCAAACAGTGCAATGTTTTTTAAGTGCTGTCATCATCTACAGAGTTTAAAATGTATAATAACTGTTTGAAACATTGCAGTGGGACTGTGTTATTCTCAGAGGAGATTTAGCCTAATACACTTTTGATGGTATTGGAATCAGCCTTTGAAGACCGACAAAGAGCTACTGATTTAAACAGTTCATATCACTACGCAATAAACAAAAGCAGATGAGTGCATGTTTTTTACTAGCAGAAGTATATTTAGATATTTTCAGTGTGCTATTAATAGAACATCAACTTCTTGCTGTGCAACTTGTTTAAAGGCAGCCAACACCCATCTGGTAATTAAACTAATTTAGGTAGCGATACGCCCAGCCTTAAAGGGTCACATGAGGCCCAGACTACATACAAATCACACCTTTCAGCAAATCTTTCCTGGTACACAAAATAGAGATGCTTTTGGTATGCTTGTCAGAATTTGCTTGGACATATGAAGGTGGCGAGACATAAATGGACTTTGGCAGTCTGGGGGCCGGGTCTAGCACCAGGGTAAATTGCCTGTCTGCATTCTCATCCAGCAATTGACTGTGCTTAGAGATTAGCAGTGATCCAAGAAAATATAAACTAACACTTCTGGAAGTGAAACTTTGGAGAATGATTGTTGTGTACATAAAATACCTTAGCGCTGAGGTGAAGTCGCTGCGTGGGAGGTGACCGACTTGATTGCCGTATTTTAAATGGAACTTGCAGCTAAGTGATCATAATCATTGTAATTATGATTAATACTTACATTATACAACGTGAAATAAATACATGTTGTGTATAGTAAGTATTAGTCATAATGAGAATGCAAATAAGAAATGTGTCTGTCCAACGTCTGGGCACCTACTTTCCAATGTGTCTATGTGCAGCCCATTTCACATGCTAAATTGTGTGAGAACTTCTATAATATTCGTGGAGTCCTGTAGTTCAGTGGTTAGAGCACCCACTTTCAAACGAGACACCCAGGTTCAATTTCAAAACCTTGGGCAAGTTTCCTTACTCCACACGCCTGATAATAATCCCTCAAAAAAAACAATGATAAATTGGTCATTTCAATCCACAACTGTTTGTGGGGCACTGCTGTGCGCAATTGGCTGCCACATTTCTCCCACAAATACACAGTCAATTCACTTTGCAGTCTATTCTGTGAAGCGCTCTGAGGTGTCTAGAAGACGTGAAAAGTGCTATATCAAATGCAAAGATTATTATTATTATATTATTATTATAATAAGATGTTGTACAAAAAACACTATGCAAATGATTGTCTATTGGCATTCAGCACGGCTGAACTGGAATAGTCTCTGCGGATAATTAGTAAACACTGCTGTAGAAACTCCATGAAGCCATTCAAAATGGTACAAGACACTTTAATATCTGGTCTTGGTTGAGCAGGCTGCAGTACAAAAAGTAATACCAAACTGAGATGTTCGCAAAGCAATAGTTCTTGTCTCACTGCTTTCCTGAAATGCTGCTTTCCAGCTGCTTTTGGTAAACCCTGGCCATAAATGGCATTTGTCCTTAGATGTAAAACCATTGCTGGGACTTTGAACTCATATATTCTAGGCTGGACACTCCAGTTCAGTGCTGGGGGTGTATCGCATTGTTGGAGGTACCGTTCTTCTGCTAAGATGTTAAACCCAGACTGCTGGTTCATGTGCTGTTAAAGATCCTATGGCAATAATCGAAAAGATATGGTAGTTTCCCCCAGTGTCCTGGCAAACAATCCTCCAAATAAAACTGGCTATTCACTTTGTGTCTGTTTGTGGGACAATGCTGTGTACAAATTGGCTGCCGTGTTCACTCCACTTCACAGTAAATCATGTGAAACGCATTGAGACGTCCTCCCAGTGTAAAAAATGCTATACCAAATGCCAATGATTATTATTATTATAATTATTATCATTACTGTATTCAAGCTTGTGCTAACTTTTGAAAAAGGCAGTCGCCACCTTAATTTTAAAGCAAATTTTCCACAGAGTCCTCTGGACCAATTTTCAATGGGGTGAAAGTTGTAACCTGTGGTGTATTAATTATCACAAATTCCAATCTATTAACAATTTAAGATGTGCCCCTCCCCTATTAATTCAGTCTCAACCCTCAGTCTCACTGCATTGGGAATTTCTGGACGGTAATCACAGGATTGGATTTGGGGTTAGCGGGATCCTGGTTTGCACTGAATTTTGAGTGATTCCCCTAATCAACACTAGGTAGGTAGCAAGTCAGCAAAACAAATGTGCACCACAGTTGTCTTTTGCCTAACCATTGTAATGGGAGTGGTTACACCCAATGGATTAGCTGATATCTTTTGTTAGCAATAGGGCAGACTTTTCAACAGTGCCACAATTAAAACCAGTGTTAAATAGTCACATCATCATTAGCCTATAAAATACAATCACAGCACTCAACAGTAAATCCTGTGAAGTGTTTGAGATGTTTCGATGACATGATAAGGTGCAATATGAAATTCAAAGATTATTGTCATTATTATTATTATACATTGCAATCCTTTCTTGGTGAAATTGTTTAATAAGCATTTGAATCATAAAAAAGGGGTTTCCATTCCAATAGAGTTTCTGTTTTTACAGGCTCGATGGGCTGAATGGCCTTCTCCAGTTCCTGCCAATGTTTTTTTTAATTTCAGTTAGGTAAATAACAGCCACAGGAAACAAATCATGATTTAGCTTTAGGAAACATTTCATATATTTAAGTATTTTTAGCTAAAAAAACAAAATTAAGTTGATTAAAATATAAAATAAACATATTTGGGTTCCAAATTAGTGTATTGCATATAGTTAATAATTAAATAATTTAGGAGTAAGAGAACTGTTGTTCAACAACAACTTGCATTTAAATAGCATCCTTCACATGGGGTAGCATCCCAGAGCGCTTGTCAGAGCAATATGTCCAATTTTGAGAATTACAAGCCTGGGATTCTGTCTTATCACTTCTAGAATTGTTGTTGTGGAAATAATGACAGAATAACACAATCCTGCTTAAAATCCAAGCTTATCCTTTAATATTTCACCCACAAAATACACAGTCAATTCACTTTACAATATATTTCGTGAAGCATTTTGAGATGTCTCAACGACGTGATCAGGTGCTATATTAAATGCAAGGATTATTATTTAACAGATCAACTTTAAGATCCTTGCCCTTACCTTCAAATGCTTCCATCGCCTTGACCCACCTTGTCTCTAGAGTCTCCTGCGAGTTAGGAGAGAAACAAGCAACTGCAGAAACAAACAAAAAGGATCACAATCAAAACAATAATAATAAATTATATAAATATAAATAAGCAAAATAAACAAAATAAGTAAAAATAATTTAAAGAGGCGAGAAATAAGAAAGAGCCTTGCAGTCAAGTCACAAGCAGAGCAGAACAGCAGCAAACCAGGGAGATGGAGCACAGCAAGATTCAAAAAGCATAGAAAAATATGAGTTAATTCAAAGTCAATAGCAAAAAAGGTAGAAGATCAAAGAGGGAAACACAGTAAATTCAATTGTTATATTCAATGCGTTATTATTTTATGTATAGGGTGTATTGGTGGAGCATTTCCTTGGTGGTATTCCTGGCGTAAAAATCCTCGGATCAAATAAGATCACAGTTGAATTGTATCCACATGTGCTTCTGTGTTTTCTCACTCCTCCACACAGAATGAGAACATTTATATCCAGATCCATATTCCTATAGTCTTAACTTTATATCCAGTAAAATTGTGTGATGCATCTGGGGGATGAATGATCCTATTATTCCATCATATATAGTGGTTTCCAATGATGGGTCCTGCAAATTATAGCATAGATTTCACAAAAATATTTAATTATCTCAACGAATGCATTTACAGTTCTGATAAAGTGCAAAAACAAAGTAATTTTGTACTTTGTAATAAAGTGTTCTCTGAAACAACCATCAATACATGGTTTGTTGCAACATGTTGTAATTTCTCTCCTGTATTGTGGTTTCTACACTACGAGCACATACTTGCACAAAATGGCAGCTAAACTATCCAAATATTTGTCTAAAAATTTCTACTTTAATCCCTGCAGTAACCCTTCAAGTACTTGTCATAAGATATGCCGTGCTGTGGGCAGTTCATGTTTATTAAACAGAGCAAGGATTCATTTCATCTTCAGGAGACTGATATGAAAGGTTTCATGCAGATTGCATTTTGTTGCTAACTACCACAGTGCAGTTTGCTTGCAGCTTGAAGCAGCTCCGTCTTCAAATGCAGTAGCAACAGTATAGCGGCTGGTGAAAATCATTTAACTCCATGTGCCGCCTTTGAAAAAGCATCTACAAAGATAAATTGACTGGTGCATTCAGTAAAATTGTATTGCCAAATGGTTCAAAGAAGCAGAAGAATAGATCTCACAGTGCATCCTGTACTGATTTCAAGAACTAGCGTTAAATACAATCACATCCAGAATGCCTGTGCAAAGCAATTGTATATGGAAAGGGCTTTGTCACCAAGCAAAATATATAGGAAGATTTAAATAAAGATGTGGGTGTGTGTTCAAATCACCTGCGCTAGCATGATGATATTAATCTAATTGAAGATATTGGGGTTGAAAAATTGCTTGTTGGTGAATATAGGCGTAAATGGCACCTCAACGCTGGGTAAAAAAACCTACAAGATCTAAAAATAATTCAAACCTATTTGTACTGTGCATAAAAAATTACATTTGGGGGCGGTGGTCAATGGTTTGGTGTTTAAGCTGAGTTTGGGAAGTGCTTGAAAAATGGCAACAGCCATTCATGGAATGGATGCTATTGAATAATGAACGCTAATGTAGCCTACAGGAGCCAGTGGACCAGCATTAATTTCAACTTCTGCTTTGCTCCTGAAGTTGTAAAATTTGATAACAAATTTGTCATAGGTAAAATTGCTATCCCAATCACTAGTTGAGTCCTGTAGCTCAGTGGTTAGAGCGCTCGTCTTGCAAGCGCTGGGTTCAATTCCAGGCAGGGCGAAACCTTGGGCAAGTTTTCTTATTCCACACGCCTAATAATAATCCCTCCAAAACAAATCAATAATGAAATTGGTCATTTTCAATCCACGACTGTTTGTGGGACACTGCTGTGCGCAATTGGCTGCCGCGTTTCGCCCACAAAAATACAGTCAATTCACTTTACAGCATATTCGGTGAAGCACTTTGAGATGTCTAGAAGACCTGAAAAGCACTATATCAAATGCAAGGATTATTATTATTAGTAGTAAAGATTGTTTTGTGATTGGCGTTTTACTTTCTGACTGCATTTCCTGTCCTTCTGATCATAACCACCAGTGACAATTATCACATCAGATAATACAACTCCCTTCTCCCAAAAACCAATCTGTTTGAGCAAAGAATAAATAGGATAGAGGCTTTAGTCATTACCCAGTTTCTTCTTTATTGTGAAGGCATCACTACAGAAACTGCATGTCACCAGTTGAGATAATATGTAACCAGAGTTCTCTCTTACATATTTTACGACTCTAAAACAATGGATCCATTGTCAGTATCATTTTGGAGGCGAGTTTCAATGTCACTATTTCTACGTATGAAAATTTATCACTGTTTACTGCATCCAAAAATTGTAGCATCGCTGTGCACATGGGACAGCAAGCAACTGTGCAGCAAAGCCTTGCATTCACAACCTCCAGAGAAGAAGCAACCTCAGCAACAGAATATTTACACACAAAGTCTTTGGTAACCATTATTTAACACTAATTTCTCTTCTCACTGTGTAATTGTGGACACTTATGTCAATAAGTTTTTTCTGCGTTTGGCCCATAAAATACAGTCAATTGAGTTTACAGTACATTCTGTGAAATGCTTTAAGATGTCTTAATCATGTGATAAGGAGCTTTATCAAATGCAAGGATTATTATCGTTATTATTATACACCCTGAAGGATAACATTTTTGTTTCTGGAGTGGTAACTTGATCCTTTTTTACATTAGTAATTGTCTTGCTTTCCACAGAAGTCCTAAAACATGTGTTTCACCAATAACCCTTCCTCGGGCATCATGATAGAGCTTTAATGTCATCAGCAGCTTCACCTACACTCATTCTATACACAGTCACTGCACTTTATAGTATATTCAATGTTGTTTTGAGACATCTTCCAATGTGAAAGGTGTTATATCAAATATAAGGATAATTATCATTATTATTATCTTGGCTCACCTATTGTGGGGAAGATTTTCTCTTTGAAAAGCAAGTGCAGGCACAATCAGAGCACTGCAAAGGCTCTTTGACTGCAGTGAGTCTGAAATCTACACTGATGTATTGATTGTCTGTTATACAAGAATATAAGCATTGAATAATTTGCTGCCATCAGGTTTGAGGCAGTGCAAGTTCCTGAGAATTGACTCCATAATTATCAAACAGGTCTGAGCCGAAGTCTCATGTTGCACCCTAATCACCCTAATCCGTGATGTCCAAATGAACATTCAAAAGCTGCAGGACTTCTGCAAAAAGGGGATAGGAAAAGATTGTATCGAGTCTTGCGACGTGAAAGGTCCTATACAAATCTAATTTGCTGTTGTTGTTGTTGTTGATAATTTAACAATGCTGCAAAATGGATACCACAACTAATAAATCCTTTTAGTTACCTCTTACCACACACACCTTCAACTTGGGTCCTTGTAGCAGCCCTTTACAAGACTGTAGTGCTGCAGTTACAGCACACTGGGCCATCATTGATAGACTTCCCTTTGAACTCTCTCTTTGTATTTGTAGTGCTCTGCAAATCTGCATTTCATAGTTTTAAGGCTGTCAATTTTGTTTTATTAATAACAGCTTGGAAGTTTGTTTAGTGGAATGAAATCCAAATTAACAAAGATTCCATGGTTCAACGGTTCCAGCACTGTGAGCAAGAAGTGGAAAAGCACCAAGTTGGCCCTGTTATCAGGAAGGTAATTTATGGCATTGTAATGATTGTGTAGCAATCTTATACTTACTTGGAAGTTTTGTCCTCTCACAATATACATTGCCTGTTTTTACGATACATACGGTACCGGAATCACATCATTTCAGCCCACAGGACCTCCGTATCCACACAATACATGTTTCTAGTGGGCTTCCCAAGGATTGGTAGAAATTTCTAACAGGATTCCTTAAATACTTCCAATGGACAAATGGTGCAGTTAGTGTTGTTACCAGAATTCTGTCATATAACATGATACAGAGTGAAGCTTATTGAAACAGGCCTCAGTGAGTTAGTTGATAATGGACATGCAATGTGGTGATATTTCCAGGAGCCCATGGGGATATTGGCTTAAAATGGTCAGCGTGCAACAAAATCCATGTGTAATGCTCTTCAGGGAGCTCAAAGTCCAATTGAAGAGTACATGGGGGTAAGATGTAACAGTCTTCCCTGTGGAACACAATAGTTCCATTTACCCTTTCAGTGCCTTTCCTCCCTTTAGGGAGTTCAAAAGCCTCTTATGTTTAAGCTGAATAAAATATTTTCAAATCAGCCCGGTGCCGCAATGTTACTCTTTAAACAGATTTAACTGTGCAAAATTGTATGTAGTTTCAAGCAAGCAAACATCAGTTCTGTATCCAGTTCCAGCTGATTTGAATTACACTGATCCAAATAACATTACTTTCGTCACATAAATGGAACGCTGGTATCTTCAGTGTGGATAGCTTATCCCAGATATTCATTCGAAAAGAAAACAAAACCTAAGACAGTTTGTTCAAACATGAGGCTATGTGAAAACTTTTTTATATGACAAGGCCATTAATGTCCAGTGCATCACTGCAGGAAAATGATTTAAATCATCCCATTTGTTCCTATTGGATCCTAAGCTACTTCAGATCTTTCCTTCTTATGGACAAATACTTGTATTGTCAATTTCAGGTAGAATTGTTAACATTTATAAAAAAAAGATGCATTAAAAACAATCTTTAAATACGCATGAAGGCTGTGGAAGGAAACAATCCTTCATTTTTTTGGTCAAATAAAAGCCTTGATCAGCCTTTTTCTTGAGCTACTGTACTGCAGTGATTGGCAGTACATTAAATGGGGCTTTGTGTCAGCCACAGATTGGCTCCAGAATAACCAGGATGTCGGATTACATCCTGCAGACTTAGTGACTCCACACAGCCCCTATGATAAATTTTGCAATATTTGGGGGAAAATTTATATTGAGCCTAGATTTAACCTTTTATGATGTTATTCGCCAAGTAAAATGTCCATCAACTGACCTAGTATATTAGATAACCAGAACTAAATGAA